TTAGTGGCTTTGTACTGAAGAAGTAATGACTAGTAGCTTGTTGACCTGGGCTGCTAGAAGTTTGGGAAGTCGGGAAACAGGTTGGGGTGATACTTTCTGTGCATGGTTTCTTCTTGTGGCATATACAGCTCCTGGCCTTGCACTCAAACTTGGCCTGACATCCCCCCATGTCTCTGCAGCCTACTTGCCTGAGTCCAACCTTGCCATGCGGTGAAGGAAAGGCTGCGTCTCCTGTTGCAGGCTGCATGTGCAGTGCTCTGCAAGTAGAGGTGACACACCTCCGAGGCCTGGTTTTACAGTGTCTGGATGATCAGAAGAAGCTGCAGCAGGAAACTGTTCGTCTGAGTGCCCAACTCCAGCAGTTCTGCAGAGGGACGGAGGGAATACAGCAGGTGAGGACGCATCACCTGGGAACACATCCATGCTCAGGGCTCACTGCCCTGATCCTGGCTCCTGCATAGATTGCGGAGGCTGTGCAGAAGAAAGCAGCTCTTAACAGACGTCTCTCTTGGAGCAGAATGGGGGGACTAAGCACGCTGCCTGACTCTTGTTCGAGCTACTGATGTAGGCTCTGGTAGTAGCAACAGGATTGAAGCCAAGATGACAGTTTCCTGTGAGGACAGCCCAGTCCTTGAGGGATCTGGGTTTCCCCTTCATTTCTTCTGATAAGAAGGGATGGGCAGATATTGGGAGAGTCCCATATGCTGTGGAGAATAGAAACTGCCTTTTGCAGCTCCTCGTTTCTTTGCAGCTAGTCCTAGAGTTGTTTGGATAAACTGCTTTGTGTTTTGGCAGGTGGAGATTCATTCCAAAGGAACACAGACAGCCAAAGAGGAGATGGAAGTGGATCCGAAACCTGACTTGGATTCAGATTCCTGGTGTCTCCTGGGAACGGACTCGTGCCGCTCCAGCCTCTAGTCTCCTGAGCCCACTGGGATCCATCTAACTTCACAGCACACTAACCGAATGCAGAGAGCGGCTTTCCTGGCTTCAGGTCACTCGCAGACAAGGAGCGAGGCCGGAGGCTCCAGAGCAGCACCCATGTACGTTTGATATGAACTAGGAGTGAGTTTGAGAGGGGAAGGGCCCCTGAGCTCTTGGCCAGCTCAGTGGTTGAAGCAGCAGCAGCTCCTTTGAACCTTATTCTGTCAATACTGCACGTGAGGCAGAACGGCCCCGTTATGGCGATGGCTCCAGTAGTGGCTTGTGGCCCTTTCATTGTTTCACTGCTTCCTGGGAGCTGCCTTTGGGACCCCAGTATTCATCACTGCATCTCTAGATGAGAGGAGATGTGTTTTGTACTGAAGCTGGCTGAACCCTAAGACTCACCACCTTCGCTCCAGAGAGGTGAAGGACTAGGGTCCTGTCCCTACCACATGGTAAGGCCCAGCCAGTGAGGCTGCTCCCCTCTGCTCAGGGGCAGAGGGAGCAGAGAACGTCTCATTCTGGAGGCAGTGGAGATCTTCCTGTTAGGGAGATAATGGTAGACAGCATGTCCCTGGCGTCAAGGCACAGCTTCTGGCCATATGGCTGCATCCAATGGCCTGTATAGACAGAGTTTAAAGGCTTTATTCTGGGTGCCTAGAGCTTTCCAACTTCCAGGCAGTGCACCAAGATGAGTGAATCAGGTGTCATTTCCAATAGCAGTAGTAGGGACTGTCGGAGGTGGGATCTCTAGTTCTCAGTTTCAGACTGCCTGCTTCCCATCCAGATAACAAGTGTCTGGGCCTCAGACTAAGGTAACCCGTTTCTTTCTCCAGCTGTTCAACTTGGTTTGGGTGCCAGAGCTTCTGGTTTCTTGGCATAAGCCCGTAGCTGTTCCCTGCTTGGCTTCTGTTCTGCTCAGCCCCTGGTGTCACACTCTGTGTGGGTGTGGGAAGAATCAGTGTTTTTCCACTCACTGTTTTGATGAAGCTGGAATGTGGTTTCTTACCCAGAATAGGTCATTAATGGCATGGTCACAGGATGCATCCTTCCCCAATGACCATGAATGATCAAGTCTCTGTCTGGAATTCACCTTCTTTCTAGAAGCAAGAGGCTTTCCCAAGAAAATTGGAGATGGGAATAGGCATGGTCTGATGCTCAAGGTTTCCTTATTTCCTGTTAGAGAATGAGGTTAATTTTATTTCCCTTAAATTTATTAGCAAACTGACTGTGAACTAAGCTTTTGGGATGGGTAGGATCCCTGGGAGCAGCTAGCCTCCCCTGCCTTACGTGAAGCCTCAAAGGAGTCCTGAGTCCCTCTCACCTTTGCTGTGAGAGGGGGTTTGTGATTTTCATTAGGCTTAAACCATCCCTGTCAGTGGCATTGTCACTAGAATTGCCTTAGGTCTTGCGGAGTTGGATATCCTGTCGCCTCTGCTAGACTACTTCTTTTGACAGACTGTTCTGGGGAAGCCAGCATTCCCTGTTTGTCTCTAGAGGTGGACGCCAAACCATTCTGCTTGTAACTTACGCTCCTTAAATACTTCTTTGATGCCTATTGCTAGTATCTTGGAGCTGAATCAAGTGCAGTCCCTCCAGTGCAGTGTCCAGGGCAAGGCTCATACTGGTGTGCCCACCCACCGTTGCTGCAGGAAGGCTAGGAGGACAGCCCTCCTGGGAGGCGGCGAGTCAGGCACCCTGGTGTGGCCATGCCACTTGGTTGCCTTGTGACTCTGCTCTCCTTTCCACCTGTGCATTGGAGCCACTTCTCTCGGGTTAGGGTCCCGGCTTGAGGATTGTTGCAGTTGGAAACGATTGAGTTGGTCACGCTGTGGCAGTGCCTTTGAGGAGCAAAGAGTTGAGCCTGAGCCATGTCCAATAAGCAAGCACCAAGCTGATGGGAGTCGCTCTCCTGCAGTGCACTGCTATCCTCATCTCTCAATGCTCTGCAGTTGGGAAGCTAGGTGCACAGACTGGATTCCCCTTGGATCTAGTGGAGGATTAGGGTCCCTGACAGAGGATACCCTGTGCTCTGCAATCTCATATGTGCCTTAGAGGATTCACGCTATCCAGGTTGTGCCTGTTACAGACCACAGATTTCACACCAGCCAGCTATGCAACCAAAAAAGCAGTTTAAAGCCAGCACCTTTGTCTTGGGCTGAAAACGGAAGGGCAAGTGGGCAGAAGTGCCTTTGAGCAGTTTCAAACCCTTTTTACTTCTCCCGTTCTTGCAGTGCTAGCTCCATATGTGTTGGTCTTCTGCTAGTATTGCTACTGAGTTGTTATAGTGGAACACAACTTATGCCTGCTCTGACACTCTGGCTGAAAACTAGTTTGTCATTGTCTTTTTTTGAAAGGTTAAAGGGTGTAGTGGTTTGGAGTTTCTGTTTAAATAAATGTTTAAACTCATTCTCCTGTATTCAGAGTCTTCTGTTTGTTTTTTTTTTCTTTCCAAGAGAGGAAGGGGAAATATGCATATAGTCAGCTGGCTTCACAGCATTCTGTTGTGTGATTTTTGGGGGGGGGGTTTGCCTATAGAAAGAGGGCCAAGTAGCTTGCAGGTTCTTTGCTATGGGAAGAAAAATGTCGGGTTCTGTGTCACTTCATTAAAAAAAAAAAACAAAACAACAAACCAACAAACAACAAAACTCTTTTCTTTTGCTGCTGCATCTGCTCCTGGTGACGTCAGGGGGCTTTTGTGTGCGTGTTTATTTCAACAGTTTGAGTGCCAAGTGGGAAGTGAGTAATGGGAAGAGAGAGGCTCAAAAGGAAGAAGTACCTGTTTTTCTCAGAACAGCTCCTACTGAGCTTTAAGGCCTACAGAAGCTGCCTGACATCTGCTCGGCCAACTGCTGCTGCACACTGTACTTAATGCCTGTCACTTCTGACGTTTTATGAGGGTTTTTAGTAAATTGTGAAATGTTTTGAGAGGCAGAGCAGGGTTAAAAACTTAAAATTCGCCAGAGATTTGGATACTGAAAATGCAGCGTATCTCAGAGGGGGATTGTACTGCAGTAGCAGAAGAGGAAGCCGAGCTGGTGTAACAGCTTGAGTAGTGCCAGGGTAACACTAACCCTCATAGCAAAGCAGCAGGGTAATTCTGTGCTGAGCCTGATGCTTTGGCTAAACTTACTAAATTTTAAACCAGCTAGCAGATACTTTCTGGATACTTCTGTCTGTCCTGACCTAAAACAATAGCTCAGCAAAGAGGGATGAACTACTTATGGTTAGCGCTGAAACAAAGATAACAAATGAAACCTGGTGGTTTAATTTCAGTAATTTTTGTTTAATCTACAGTTTTAATCACAGCATTAGCTGTTTGCCTGTCACTAAAGTCCCCAGCAGATGGATTTATTTTACAGTATCAAAAGGTTTTCTCTGTGTGTCTATTCCAGTCACCATTTGCACTTTGCTGACTTTTGGGGTCCACTAAATACAGTGAATAAAACATGGTGCAAGGTAAATGGAGTTAATATTACAGGACAGGCATTGGTACTGAATTTCTTAACTACTCTTTAATTCAGTTACGCTTTTCATTAATTCAAGGAGGCTGGCATAAAGCTTCCAGTTTACCCCTTTCCTACCTCTTGCAATCCCATATTTTGAAGCTCTGAAGTCAGAGCACTGGTCTTGCTTCTCCGATGAATTTGGACAGCAAATTATTTTCCCTTGTTTCAAGTCTGTTTTTTCTGTCCTCTCCAGGTTAGTACATTCATACCTGGCTGGCACAGTGCAGCACAGACCCTTTCTGGGACCTTCATGCTTTTCTAAGGCATGCCAAAGGATTGGGATTTCTGCCTATGTATCTATAGGGCAGAAAACCTCCAACTTCTTTCAGGAGTCTAGTCCATCCATTGCAGGCTGGAGTGTTTCTTCATATTCAGCTTCTGACTAGTCCAGTTTAAGGTAGTCACTTTTTACTTTTTTCTAGGCTCCCATGAGCTGCTGCTATATTACTGAAGGACTTGAAAAGGGAGCTGCTGGAATTTTTCTGCTCATTTGCTTCCTGTTGCAACTTTCTCATACAAAGTCATTCTTACTTTGATAACACAAACCACTCTGTGACCATTTAAAACAACTTTTACACAACAGAACTAGTTTATTTTATTAAAAATCAGAATCTGGAAAAATAACTGTTATAGAAATGTGCAGGAACTGTCACCAGTTATAAGCAGATGCTTCTCTAAAAGGGGCTGTAGGACACCTGTTTTCCTCCAAAAGGCCCTTCAGCAGTGTGACAAAGACCTTTAGCATGAGGCCAAAATCATCAAGAACTACCTTATATCTCAAGAAAAAAGCAAATGAAGGGGTATGTTTTTGTCATAACTCCCTGCCATTGCAACAATGAAGATGAAAATAAGCAGATGACTCAAGGAAGGGTACAGCCCTTGTGTTTTAGAGGTCCCTAGCAACTTGGCCTGCAGGAAAACACCAGTTTTTTATATTAAATCTAATTGTTGATTTAATCCCGAACATATGAGTGAAACAGCTAACAGGTTTCCTGATGTGAAGTTCCTTAGTGTACTGTCTGGGGGAGCTGGGTGTGTGGCTTTTCTAACTGTAGCAATTCTTAAACATTTTGGATAGAAATTAAAAATAAATCAAAAGCCAAACTAGGAATCAAGGGAAGGTTGCCATGGGAAGGAAATTCCTTCTCTGTTCCTGGAAATGATACACTGGGGCACAAAACTGTCACTGATCTGTCCTTCACACTTTATACAAGAAGCCTGGAGACAGGAACAAATGCTCTGTATCATGGTTCTTACTTGCTAACTCCTGCCATATGCTCCCTTCCATGATCTTGTCCAAGTCCATCTTTAAACAATGTAGGTTCCCTGCCTGTGCTAATGTTTGGAAGGTTTTTCCATGACCTCACTCTTCTCCTACTTAGAAACCTAATTTCCAGTCTGAGCTTATTCATGACCTATTTTTGATCTTGTGTGGCATTATTCTTTAATTAAATATTCCTTCTGCCCTTTCCCAACTCTGAGTCCCAGCTATTGTACATGGTAACTAAGACATTGGGATGGTGATTCTGTTGCTTCAGGGGCCTGGTTGGTTTGGAGTATCTCTGCTCTTCTGTGCACATAAATTGACATGGACTCAGACAGCAGGTGCTTGCTACTGCTAGCTTTTCTAGCCCCCTGAATTTCTGATCCTGGGCTTCTTGTGTTGAGGAAGCATTTAATAATACTCATGGTTCTTCTTTTCTAATTCAAACAATGTCACACTGGATTTCTAAGTGGTAATGTTATAGATCTTCAGCTGGTAAGATGTAGCCCCAGGATTGTCACCAGCATTCTAGAAAAGCATCTAAATAAACTCTTAGGCTGCTGCAGACCAAGTGTGGAATGAACCTACCTACTCAGCTTTCATTATTCAAACGAACCATGCTATAACAAATGGGACAGCATGAGCAATGACCAAGCAGTGCAACTCTGGATCCTGTTGTCTAGCATAGATACCAAGGACAGAAGACTACAGCAGTCTGCATGCTGCAAAAAAAGTTAACTGCTTGTAGATAGCTTCCCTCCCTTTGTCTGATTTTTCCAAATCCTTTATCTAAATTCTAAAGTTTAGAAGACTGTAGAGTCGTTTCTGTGGGAAAAAAAAAGAGGAACCTGTTGCATGCCAATCTCTTGTAGGTAGCTATAATAAAAATGCTACACCACTGAGAACTACTGTCGCTGTTAGCATGTCTTGAGGTGAACCTACAGAGCAGCAGAGCAAACGAAAGGCAGATGCTCTGTTTGGCCCAGCTCTTCTCATGAACAGCATTAGTCTATGCTTTTGGAGAAGGAAAAAACCGGAGTCTGCAGCCATTGATGAGTTAAAGGAGAGCAGTTCTCTTCATATCAGACACCATTAGCTGTTACAAAAGAAAAAAGCCCAAGCATCCCTAACCTACAGGCAAAATAGGATTCTGAAGAACAACTCCTTTCTGATGGCTCTTTTGCTCCTCGCTGCTGTCCTGCTGGCAGCTTGTAGCAATGAGCTCGCTGGATAGAAGTGGCCCCTGGAGGAGCATCCAGGGCACACGTCAATATACATAAGTTCTAGAATTCTGCTTATACGTCCTGAGCTGTTCACTTGCTCTGCACACAAGCTCACAACGCTCACAGGGTGTGCTGAGAGTGGGGAAAGTGCAAGTGTCTGTGGCTGCAAACTTGACAGAAAACAGGTAGGGAGGGAATCAGCAGCAGGTACAGTTGGAGACCACCTCAGCAGCACTTCCTCTGCAATGGGGGAGGGGGCCTGTTCTTGATGGTTTTGCATTTGGGAATATGTCTCTCAGCTGCTTGGGGAGCAAATCGGCGTCTGCAGTAGGGGCAGGCAACATCCTCCGTGTTTTTGATGGGAGGCAAGGGGGGCAGGTCAGACACCTTCCCTCCTGTGGAGAGTTGCTGCTGCACCTGCTGGGCCTCGTGCAGGGTCTGGATGAAAGCCTCATGCTTCTGTCTCCAGGTGTTCCTTCTGGGTGGTTTATTCTGCAGAATAAAAAGGCAATCAGAGCAGCTGACACCACTGCCAGCCTCTATTCTCAGTCTTACTCTCAGGTTCCAACTCAGGTCACCTGTCCCTGGGCATTCACTGCTGATGTAAAACCCTCCCTGAAAAGCTGGGTCCCATGAAAGGGATCAAAAAGACCTGCACCAAGGGGGATTTGAAGGAAATACTGAAGGATTCATCAATACTTAGGAAGAGCTTGAGAATAACCAGAAAAGCAAGCAGTAGGGCTGAGGAACTGGGAAGGGTTGCTGTAGCTGCTCTGCAAGAACAGAGCTGCATGTTTCCACTGCGCTCATTTTAATAGCCTATGTTATTACCTGGATTTTCAGTCAGTTCTCTGCAGCCCCTAATGCCACAGAGTTTTACTGCAGCAGACCTTGTCTGCATCCTGAGCACCTGACTACAGCAAGGAGTGAGCTTTCTCCAGGAGTACACCCTTGACACATTACAAAGACAAGTCAGTTAGGACCCCTGCCCTCCCATCTATTAGATTTTGAATGGATCTATTTATCCATTTGGCAAGAACCTTTCAAAGGCAATAGCTGGATTGTTTCCCTTAGACCCATGTACAGAGGAAGGCGCTCACATCTCAGTCAGAATTAGATGTCAAGGTGGAAGGAATGTGAGCAGTAGACGTGAACCAAGGGAGGCAAAAGGACTACACATTACCTGAGGCCTCTCTGAGCTCTTCCACTGCTGATACTTTTCCAGGTCTGTGCCCATAGCTCTGGCCTTCCTGGAGTCAAACACTTTCCTCTTGGAGCCTTGGCTCTTGCTGCAGATACTCATGTGCTTCTTGAGCCTGGTGCAGAGAAATTTACGTCCACAGAAGCTACACTCTCCAAGCCCCCCCTGCCCCACAGCACTGTCAGCCTGCGTGTACAGCACCTCTGTGAGTGGGTGGTCACCAGAATCTTGGTCTGAGAGGGCAGAGGGAGAAGGGCTATGTTTTGGAGCCAGCACTGAACAAGAGGCTAAACACTCCATGGATATGTAGTCTTGAATTTTGCTGTTGCTGGCCACCAGATGCTCCTTCTTGAGTTTCCCCATAGCCAGCTCTTGGGGGTGGAGGGTGGTGCCAGGCTTGTGGATAGTGACCTCTGCAGACTGTGCTCCCCCGAACACCCCATCACCTGGCCTGACTGCAACTCTGAGAGTTTTCTCTTCAGGGTGTCTTGCAACCTTTCGCTCAGGGGTCCTCTCCACTTCTCTGTCTCTTCTCTCCTCTGCCTCAACAAGTTCCTCCTCTCTTTGAATCCTCCTAAGCTCCTCCTCTCTTTGAATCCTCCTAAGCTCCTCCTTTGTTCTCCTCAGCTTCTCTCTGATGAGGGTCTCTTTCTTTCGAATTTCTTCTTCCAGGGTCTGTCCCTCTGCCTCCAACTTTAGGATGTAGGCCAGCTCTCTCCTGTGTAGATATGAGGCTGACAGTTTAGGCTCTGTTGTCCAAGGAGACAGCCCTGCGGCTAGCTGAGACCTCCCTGCTAGAGGCTTCCCTTTGCTCATTGAGCTAGGCCTACTATTTGGAGCTTCCTCCACATATGGGGAACTTCCAAGCTGTGCTGTGTTGACCACTGGAACACTCACACCATTCTGGTGGAAAATTGGTTTCAAGGGATATGCACGGTCCACTCCTTCTTTCCGTCTGGCTACTGATTTAGCTGGTAGAGTCTTGGTCTGGCTGGTGAGATGCTTGCTCTGCAGTCCAGCTGAAAAGATGCCTCCATGCCCAGAGCTGTATTGACTCTTTTCTGCAGAAAGAAAATGCGAATAGCTTCGGCTCTTTCGGCCATACAGGTCCTTCAAGCTTTCCTCTTCATAATGTATGAGTTCATGCTGAAGGTTGTTCTTCTGGTGTTTCAGCTGGGAACTGGGAACAAGATTAGTAGCTGCCATCACAGAATTCAGCGGTGGAAACAAAGCCATTCAGTGCCTGAGAAAGAGGCTGATGTTAGAAGCAAAGTCATCACAGACTATCTTATCCAAAACTGGACAAATTTTCTCTGAACAGTCTACACCTGGAGGCTACAATGAGGCTATAATAAATATTAGCAAAGGTTTTGTAACTTCACTAGGTTCTGTAAATCTTTACACTTCTTTCATCTAGGGAGCTCCCATGCCACCTGTTCCAGCCCCAATCGTTTATGCAGCCAGAAATAAGGCATGTTTTTATTTTGCTTGCTGTCTGAGCCCTGTCTTATCATGGTAGCACCAGAAATATGCTGTACCGACAGAGATATTGTTATACTACCCCATGGTGTTTCACACAATATGTCCCTTCAGTTTTGGCACTATAGATCCACCAGTGTGACACACAGCTCTGACACGCAGGCGTCCGGTAAAGCTCGGTACAATCTTCCCGTGGCTCGTTCTACCACATCCCCCGAAATGTGCCAGGTACCCACGCCGCGGGCCGGCGGCACGGGGAGAGCGGGGGTTACCTGCGAGGCTGCGGCCGGGGCTGCGCCCAACCTCCTCGGCAAGCTGCGTCGCCACCCGTTTACTCTTATCGGCCCGACATCGCCCGAGAGACACGGCTCCTCCTCCTGGCCTCGGGGCAGCGCGGAGCTCTGCCCGCCGCCCCGCGACTGCCGCCCCCGGGCGCTGTGTTGACGGCCGTTGCCTGGAGACAGGCACGCGGATGCTAGTTCCTGCGCCGCTCTCGCCGGGGAGCGCCTTCTCTATGATTCCTCCGCCACGCTGCCGCTCTGCTCTGCTCTGTGGAGGACCGCGCCTCTATGACGGGCGGGTTGCTATGCATTATTCATGACGCGGTGACGGCGGGGCCAGCCCATCCCCGGCCTCTCGCGGCTGTGGCTCCTCATTGGCCACAGGGCGGCCCAGG